TGAAATTTCAGCCTCCTAGCTTTTGTAGGGGTGGAGTTGAAAGTTGCGGACAAAATGCACCCGGACACACATACACACACGCAGATTTTCGTGACAGTACGAGCTTTGTGTAGCTGCTGCACAGCATAAAAGCATATTTTATGCTAAGCGCTGGATAGCTTCGAGCTTTGACAAAACTTACACGTCTGCACAGTAATTTCCAGCGCTCGTTCAAGTTTAAAGCGAATTCTCTTAGTTCTTTATTTTCAATCATCATAATTTTCGGTGGATAGTTTTGCCAGTTTGTTGGTGTACATTGCTCAAGTTCTGCTCCAGGCTCATCAAAATAAAGATCACGAAAAGCAAGTAGTTCTTGCGGATTGATATCCTCCACTTTCTGCTTACCAAATTGCTTCTCAAACTGTTTTTGAATCATTTCTAAAATTTCATTTCTTGCATTTTACCTTATACCTTATGTTCCAGAAGATCTGGAAAGCATGAGCTTAAGGTTTAGTGGGAAAACGGTGAAACACTGAGATAGCTGGTTTTCCGTCTATCCTTTTTTCTTTGGAATTTATAAAGCGAAACTGATCGAGTGAGTGCTAAAATTTGTTTAAATCCCAGGCTGAAAAGCAACAGGCCAACCGGCGCGAACAAGCTTTTTGCGCTAGACTTCAATTTTTCATCTGTATGAATGGTTGTTTTTTACATTTAACTAGTGCGCTAATTGTCGTAAGCCACCGTAAATTTTTCACAGTGGATAATGAACAGTTTTCGTTGAGCAGTCGTTCACTGAAAATTAACTGGTTGTTCTGGTTACCGAGTTAGCCATTATCCCGTAAAACTTTCACGTGTCCGCACGGAAGAGCCACTCATACTTGAAGACTAAATTTTGAATCTTTAAGTTGCTCAATGATGAGAAGATTTCCTTAAAATTTCAATTTCCGAGCTCCTGGAAGCAATTTTCCCGCTAAGATTTTTACGTGCTCGTACGACGGGCTCAGATGACATGAAGGTTGATACTGCGTTCCTAAGATAGCGTTTAGCCAAGGGAATCACTAGCAAAATTTCAGCGTCGAGGTTTACTTGGCTGTTGGATTGAAATACGCGAACGGACAGACAGACAAATACACATTTGAACAAATACACACACCATGGATGGCTACAGTACTCATTTTTGCACTAGCATGTAGTCAAAAGGGCATAAATAGCTTTAAGAAGCGAATCGAAATTAACATTGCTAATTTTGTTTCCTAGTTAACAAAAATCAAATCAATTTAGGAATAGAAATGAAAACAGGGTGAAAGGTGGATAAAAAAATTCATAACGGATGTGAAATATCCATCAAAAGGCGGCCACTTCTCCATTAATTTAAGGCATTAGCATTTTGCGGACTTATTCTTGGCAAACTAATCAACTTAAACACAAAATTCTTTTCGCATTCAATAAGTGCCACCAGTGGCCACATGCTTACTTTTTCGATGTTTGCTTAGAAGTAGACTGGACGTGGGTCTACCTTCTCATACTCGTGCCAATTCCTTCTAAAAAAAGTGAATCGCGAAAGGGTTGGCTTTTCTACTGTTACCCTCAAATTATCGACTTTCAAACTGAGTACCACATATTTCATGCATGTAGGCATTGTTAATTCCAGTCCTAATTAAGGACGAATATAGAATTATTTGGATAAAAAAGCTTAGCAAATTTCACAAACTTGGATCTTTTTTCATTGGTCTATCCACAAAAGTTTTCCAGTCTAGCTCCAGTTTGTGAATATTCACGGCTTCTAGCAATTTCCCGGAACAGTAAATAAACCTAAACTGAAGCTCGATAAAACACCTGCTCATTCAGTGGATCACGAAATATAAGCACGAAAAACGTCTGGAGGGCGGGTATTTAATCAGAGCGGCCTGTACGAACCAGTTTCCTGTGTTATCCGATTCATCGCACACAGGTACAATATTTTTCTGCTTGTTGATCTCTCGTATTGCTTCTCCAATCTCTTCGGCAGGTGCTATAGTCAAATTAGCATCTTTTATAATTGTTGCTACTATCAGCAGAACGCTGATGATTATCTTACAATGTGTCATTCTGAAATATTCGTGTATTTCATCAATTTTCTTTACTTTCTTGTTGCTGACAACTTACACATTTTCGCAGAAGAAACACATTTATTGCTTTTTTTTATGTCCCCCTATCTTTCCAACAACATTCAAGCAATCCTTCCAAGAATCTTCATTGTTCAGGACTGCACACATCAGGAAGTCAATAAAGCCAGTAGAACTG